TCAGGTAAAAAGCAGGTATACTGGTGGAATGACCGAATTGCTGAGCTGCGAAGGGCCTGCCATAGAATGCGGAGACTCGCAACGCGCGCTCGTGGTAGACCCGAGGCGCTGACCAGAGCAGCAGCCTACAAAAGCGCAAAGAAAGCACTTGGGGCCGAGATACAGAAGAGCAAACGGAACTGCTGGAAAGCGCTATGCGACGAAGTGGATCGCGATCCCTGGGGCCAGGGATACAAAATAGTGATGAAAAAGTTCCATACATCATCACAGGCGATGGATGAGGCCCGAGTTAAGAATATAGTGGATGCGCTATTTCCCACACACCCACTAAGAGCCGACACAGTGTTCGTCGAGGAGCAAGCCGAGGCACCACTGTTTTCGACAGACGAGCTGAAGCTAGCCCTGCGAAGCATGAAAGCCGGCAAGGCTCCAGGCCCAGATGGCATACCAGCGGAGGCAATCAGGTTAGCAGCGGAAACGAGCCCTGATCTTCTGCTTAACATGTACAACAGCTGCCTTAGGGCCCGGGTTTTCCCAAGCCAATGGAAGAAGGCGAGACTGGTGCTTATACCCAAGGGCAAAGGGGACCCAAACTCTCCTTCATCCTTCCGGCCACTCTGCATGCTAGACACAGCAGGCAAAATGATGGAGAGTCTGCTCAAAATACGCTTGACGTCAGCCATAGAAAGCGAGGGAGGCCTTTCACCCCGACAACATGGCTTCAGGAAGGGACACTCAACTATAGGAGCAATTGGCGAAGTAGTCGAGGCGGTACATAAGGCCGAAGAAGCCTGCCACCAGGCGCGGCCAATAGTGCTGCTAGTCACACTGGACGTCAAGAACGCCTTCAACTCGGCAAGATGGGACGATATGCTGGAGGCCTTGGAACGGTCATTCAAGGTTCCAACATACTTGCTAGATATGATCCGGGACTACCTCAGAGACCGTTGGCTTTTGTACGACACAACACAAGGTCAGAGAAAGAGACGTATAACCGGCGGAGCGGCACAGGGGTCTGTACTTGGCCCGGACCTCTGGAACGCCACGTATGACAGTCTGTTGCGCACGGAAATGCCGGAGAGCGCCTTCCTTGTCGCTTCCGCGGACGACGTGGCAGCCGTCATAACAGCAAGAAATGTCCAGCTAGCACAGCTCAAGCTAAACCAGGTCATGCGCAACGTCAGTGGATGGATGAGCGATCACGGTCTGCAATTGGCTACAGCCAAAACGGAGATCGTGCTCCTCACCAGGAAACGGATCCCAACAATTATAAATATAATAGTGGGACCTCAACTCGTGACGACTTCTAGGTCTACAAAATACCTAGGGGTGAAGCTTGACAGCAAACTCACATTCTGGGAACACATCCATGGAGTATGTGAAAAAGCTGCGCAGAGCACGGCGGCTCTAAGCCGGCTGATGGCGAACGTGGGCGGCCCGAAGCCATGCCGCAGGAAGCTTCTGATGACAGCGGTCCAATCGGTGCTCCTGTACGGGGCAGAAATATGGGCTGACGCATTGAAAGTCAAAAAATACCGGGTTCAAATGTCTTCGGTACAGCGCAGAGGGGCACTACGCATTGCTTCTGCATACCGTACAGTGTCCGCGGACGCGGTTCTAGTTATTTCTGGCGTCATGCCAATTGAGCTACTTGCTTACGAGCGAAAAGAGATTTACAATCTCAGTGCCGAGATAGGTCGAGCAGCTGCCGCGGCAAGGCCGCGGCAAGGGCGCGCGAGCAAGTGGCAACAAAACTGGAACGCGAGCACAAAAGGTCGATGGACACACTCCCTGATAGCCGACCTTCAAACAAGGCTGAACAGACCACATGGGGAAGTCGATTTCTACCTGACGCAATTCCTCACCGGTCATGGTTACTTCCGAGAATATCTTCATAGAATGGGAAGGGTGGACTCACCGTTCTGTCACTACTGTGGAAACGTCGAAGATAACGTGTACCACACATTCTTCACCTGCGAACACTTCTTGATTTCGCGCAGAATGTTGGAAGAAAGACACGGAGACATTACTCCGGACAACATAGTTGGGATAATGATTTCCAGCGCAGAAAAGTGGGAAGCAGTTGCGAGATACGTGAAATTCGTACTCCGCTGCAAACGAGAGGACGGTTGTCTACTGAGGACACCCGAATGAAACGCCCCTACAAAAGAGCAGCCCCAAGGCTCTAACAGCGCGCTCCTGCATCTGAAGACATGCAGAATTGCGGTGCCAGATGCGGGATTC